CTTGCAAATCGGCCGATAAAAAGACATATGGAGATACTGAGAATGCAAATACATAGGCTCTACCTATGTCAATTCCATGTACTTATCGGAAGAACATGAAAACAGTTATCTGAACAGATGTGTGCACCCTATTTCCATAGTGGCATCATGCACAGTAGCCAAGACATGGAAACAGCCTGAATGTCCATGACAGAGGAGAGGATAAAGAACTTCCGGCATATCTACTCAATGGAATACTATACAGCCGTTAAAAAGACAAAACCTCCCTTTTTGCACTAGATGCATGTAGGTTAAGGTGATTCTGCCAAGCAAAATAAGTCAGAAAATGAAAGATAGTTACCAGATGGCTCTACTCATGTGTGGAATGTAAATCACCAAAGAAAACAAACTAATGAAACCCGTAGCTGTTAGACTGTGAAGGTACGGTGGTGACCAGCTGGGGCAGGCACCGTAGAGGGGCTGCTGGGAGAGTGGGGTGTGGAGCTGTGCTGCTGACATGATGTCAGTGGACGCGGAACCAGTGAAATTTGTTCTCTAAAGAAAGAGCTTTATGGAGAGGCTTCGTGCGTTGGGATGAGATGAATTCCTCAATTTTTTCACCGTGCCTTTACGTTAAAATCTTCCATTTCACGTGAAAACAAAATGGCTGCTTGAGAGTCCCACTAGTTATTTGGCGTTTCCTAGGGGTGGCAGGTACAGTCCATCTTTGTCACGGGCTTCTGCTCTGACATTAATTGGGGCCTGTATTTCCGACACGGCCTGTCGGCTCGTCCTCCCTCACGCCCACAACCTGGCGATGTTAACAAAAAACAAGCGGACGACCTCCTCCAAGTCTCCCTTCAAATGGTTGTGTCTGAAAAACTAGTTTTTCATCTGTCTTCTCCTCCCCTGCTGGGTTGTCTTTGAATGAATGAAGTGTTTTTCTTGACTTGAGGCTTTTGAAGAATTATTTTTCTTCAAGGAGAAAAATCAAAAGCCTAGAAATGAAGAGACTTTGAAAATGTTATTGAAATAACGTCTGCGTGGAGTTGATTGAACTTACATAAACTCTTTGAAACCTGGATTGACGAGCATTCGTGTTTGATCTAGTTAAAGCAATAAAATACAGGATGTAATCTTTATATAATTACCAAAGTCCCGCTGTCTGCGCCCACCTGCAGATTTTCATAACGATTCTGCAGGCAAACGTCTTTCTTGTCTAATGCCCTCCGGCCCTTTATCTCTGCTGGCTGGAAGCCAGAAGAAGACTCTATTACAAATACTGTATTTTATTTTTGTTGTCAAGTGGCTTCGCGGCTGACGGCTATTGTCCTTGAAGACCCGTCCCCGGGCGGGCGGTTGCGATGTGCTGGTTCTTGTATTTTTCCGCCGCTCTGCTGCTCGGAAGCCACCCCGGTAGCAGCATGTGGGTGCTGCGGTGAGCGTGCACACCTGGAATGAAATCAGACGCTCCCCACCCCTCAGCAGGCCCGCCATCCTCGCCGCCTTGGCCACGCTCCACCCGCCGCTGCCACCCAACGCGAAAACCTAGCAGGCTCCTGTTCTCAGCCTCGCTAATAGGAGGGAAGCCGTCGCTGCTGGACGAGCTTATACACCAACTGGGAGATGTTAGTTCTGCATAATCCCCGCTCCCAAGAACAATCATAATGACAAATACACAAGACAATGCACTAGAATGGACGTTCCACCCCTGACATCTTGCTCCGTGCCAAACATTTTGCTAAATACTTTACACGGATTATCTTTTTAATCTTCCCAAGCATCTGATGACATGCTGTCTTCAGTCATAAAAAGAAGTCATTACAGTCATAAAAATCTTTCATGCTTGCTTGCTGTTACTCCAAGTATTTTTTTTTTTTTAAATAAGGACAGCTTCTCATTTTATGACGAGTGGAAAACTTTGCCTAAAATGAAAACACTTGGGTGGAGGAAACCCACGACAGTCACTCCCAGCAGGATGTAATCAGCGTAACAAAGAGGCTCTGTGGCTGCTGGTTCCTTTCTCCTTTGCATGGGGTCTGAGCCAAGGATGGGGGCCTCCTGGGGCAGCGAAGGAGACTTTGCATTTGGGGGGCAGCAGAAGGCAGTCTTCAGTGGACTCTGCATTTTGGGGGTTCAGGAGGTGAGTGTTGGGTGAGGCCTGCATGCAACTCCTCTCCTCTGGCCCCCAATAACAATGTCACCCCTGGCGCCAAGCCAGACCCACGTGCCTTCTGCTGACCCACCTTCCTCGCCACTGCCTCTCCCCACCGTGCAGCTGACCTGCTGCTCCTTGAGTCAATCCGGGACCGCCCCTGCCGGTCTCACCTTTCCCTCCGGATTGTAACCCCGCACGTCCTTGCACAGCTGGTCACTCCCTGCCTTTAATCCGAGCTGTGCTCACTGGGCTGTTCCCCGTTGAGCTTAACCCCTGCTTCCTCGACTGGGGGTTGGACTTGGCTTTTTTACACTCGCGCTTTCTCAAGTGGGAGTGAAGCTGGTGTGCGGGGATCGCGGTGAGCAGGCGGAATCCCAGGACGCTGCCTGCCACGTGGACGTGGCCCCGGTGTAACACTGAGCCCATTCATCGACGCTAATAATAACGAGGCCAAGGTGTATCGCGCTGTTAGTAATATTTTGGCATTCCCCTATTTGGGGCAGGCACGGGTTGCCATGCCGACGTTGGCAGGCCCGACGCCCTGTGTGGCTTTGATGGATGCAGCTCCGTGAGAACCAGGCGCCTGTCCAGTTGTTGGTGTGAGACGCTAGGCAGCAAGAAAGCAGGACGTCCCGTGTCCTGGGCTGCACTCCAGTGCTGGAGCAACAGGAAGACGTGTCTCTCTGCGGGACAGGGCGTGAGACGTCTCTCGAGACCGGTGAGCAGGGCTCAAAGCAGTGAGCAGTGTCCACTGTTTGTCAGCTGGGCAAGAGCCCCTGATCTCCTGCGGATGCCGTGTCCATCTGTTCAGGAAAAGAAGGACCTGGGGAGGCAGGGAAGGAAGAAGAAGCTGCAGGTCATCAGCGCATGATCCTGGTGGCAAAGATCTTCAGGAATTGACCTTGATTCCACCTCCGAGGTCCGAGTCTTTCCACTGCAACCCTCAGCATCTTTAGCGGACATCTGGCTGCCGTCCACCCCGGGCACCTGCTCCTAGCCTGGCTGTCCCTGGTGCAGGTGGAGTTTGGCACCAAGCCAAAGGCTCCTTCTAGGAAATACCAATCTGCACCTCTTTCTTGTGCCCGTCTCTCTACCACTTTGTTTCCAGCAAAGAAGCCCTGTCCACTATTTGTCCAGCTGCGGTCTGCCCCTGGTCTGGTGATTTCTCTGACGTAATTCTTGATGCCAAAAATCAGACCTCACCGCATCCCAGGGTGTACATAGACTTGGGTGATGGGGCTGTGGATATTGACATGTAGCGAGAGGTGGAGGCTGTGTGGCAGAGGGATGGTGAGTCAGTGTCCATCACAGAGGTGTGTAGCCATTTGGGGAAGGCGGGGCTGCAAAGGAGAGTCACAGCCATAAGAGAGAGAAATTTCATAGCGAAAACCTTACCATGGAACTGAGACCCGTTAGCCTGATGATCTTTGCAGGGAAGGGTAAACCTTCTACTCCTACAGAGCTGAGAGTTATTCAGTGGTTTTTGGAATCCTGTATTGTCCGGATGGATTATTGGGAATGGGATGTATTTAGACACATTACGGGGAGTGGACGGGCAGCATGTGGTATGTCCATTCAGTGAGATTGGACGAAAAAAGAATGAAGTACTGAGGAAGCAAAAATACTGCACCGTTTAGCAAAACATAAAGCATGATGCTAAATGAAAGAAGCCGCATGTATGATTCTATTGGAGGAAGATGTTTAGAACTGGTAAATCTGTAGAGGAAGAAAGCAGGTGAATGGTTGCCAGGGACTCGGCAGGGAGGGCTGGGCAGAGAGTGGGGAGTTGCCTCTGAGAGACACAGGTTTATTGCTGCTGATGAAAATGCTCAAAATGTAGGTCATGGTGGTGGTGGCTGGAAAGCCGATAGCTGGGCACATCTGCTCAAAACCATTCACTGTACGCTTTCAAGGAGTGATTTTTACTGATGCCAATTACGTCTCAATGAACTTGTCATAAATTATTCCTTAAAAAGATAGGTTATTGGCTCAGATTTCTTTTACCTGCAAGCGTATGTAGTGCCATTCTAGCCTTAGTGACGTTTCCACAATGAAAAGCTAGGGGTTCACACACAGGAGATGAATTTCTTTCTGTCATGCCCAACCTCCTCTGCAGAGAACTGGCACCACAGCGTCGTAATGATTGGGTAATGGTTTCTACCCCTCCCGAGCCTCACACAAGCTGACAGAAAATTATCACAAAGGAAAAACCATGACCAAAATTTTAGTCCTGTGGATTGAGACGTGTCCAAGCAGAAATGTACTATTAGGGATAAGAAATCATAATGCTTATATTTGTTACGTGGTTGTTACTGTCAAATTACGCTAAGTGGTGTCTGTTATTACTTCATTTCGCGATTCCGATGACCGCATCTGCGAGATCTGGTCATAATGCTCTACGGATGGGTAAACGGAGGCGCAGGTCTGGGCACCCCATAGTCACACCGCAATGAAAGGGAAATAGAAGGCCTTGCCCAAGCTTGTTCTGTGAGTTGGTGGAGACCAAAGCCCTCCAGGATGCCCAGCTTGTCAGCGTACCAAAGCTGCCCCCTGTGAGGGCTGTGCCCGGTGTTTGTTACCAGCTGGTCTTCGTTCTGTGGCTCTGCACAGCCAGAGAGCGCGCCCAGATGCCTCTCTTTCTTACACAGGTGGAAATCTTTGTTGGTTTGTATGTCTTTGTGGGTACGGGGGAGTCAAGGACAGAGCGGGGCTGTGTGAGGAACACATTTTCTATTTTAGGAAGCAAAAAACAGCAGGATGGAAATTGCTCCTTTGCTTTCGAAAACTGTGCTTGGAAACATGTGCGTGGAGTTTGCGGTTACAAAACTCTTTAATGAGTCCCTGTTTCTTTTTCTTTTTCCAGAACAATGGTTCCCTGGGCTGGTGCCAGAATCACAAGCAGTGTTCTAAGGTATGTTTCCTTCCGCTCGTGCAGTATCTTAGAAACACTGAGTTTGGGGCTAATTATACACTCACAGAAAGTTGCAGCGACGGCAGGGAGAATCCCAGCCCGCTTCCCCCAGGTTCCACCAGTGCTTTGTGTATTCGTAGAATAATATTGGTCCTTTGACCCTGGTCCGTCGTAGCGTGTAGTTGGATGATGGTTTGTCACCTGTGTGGATACCGTTAGCGTAGCCGCCTGCCGTGTGGCAACACTTCTTTCTCTTTATTCTGTAATTTGGTTTAATCTAGAAACTTTTAAAAGGATGAAGCGTCTTCCAGTTAGACCAGATTTACTGCACACTACTTGCACCTAAGGTCCTCTGCGTGGAATGGGTGGTTCGGTAACTCAGTTCTTAAAATACGCCGTGTCTTTCCCATTTTTGAGTCTTCCTTGCCTCAGGCACAATGCGCTAAGGTTGCCTCCTGCCCACTCATACGTGTAAGAGCATACACTTCTTGCCTCACGACCCAAACATCAAAGTCATAAATACATAGACACACATGCATGCATATTTACATACATAATACATATGTATAGACATACACAGAGGATGTGACTTTAGCTCTAGTCTGGGATTAAGCTTTCTATTCAGATCATGTACATGATTAAAGATTATAAAACTTGCTACAAATACTGGAGCAAGTATAGAATCTTAATGTTTGTTGAGATTTATTTCACGGGCATCACTATTAGGCCTAAATTAAAGCAATCCTTTGTTTTATAACCAACGTTTGTCTGAGCCCTACCTAGGAACACAGAATCGGCTGGTTTATCAGGAACATTCTTACTTGGAAAGGTCTTTGAAATGCATCATCTCAGAGGGAATAGTGTAGGTAAGATTCCTAAGAGAAAACTGCATTGTAGTGATACGTACATGCGTGCGCGTGTCATCTCTTTCAACACACATGGATGCTATTAAAAATAGATCAGAATTCTTGGGTGGGTCTGAAATACTTTGGCGAAATTAAGTTTGCTTAGCTCTGACTCTTGAAATCCTGGGCAGAAACGAGATGCCTGGCTCTGAACCATTTGCTCTTTGTGTGTAATACAAGCATTGTGCTCATACGGTGTCTTCTGACATTCATTACATGAACTGTTGTTCGCGGGACTTGCTGGGGAGTTACTTATGTCTTTGCTGCCGGCATATTAAATCAGAAGCGGTTGGTTCTTCCCACTGTGGGCCCCACACGTTTGACGTATACTGGAACAATTAAACATGAACACTGTAGAAGATCTCTTGTTCCATTTAGCGGTTGATCCCTTGGATGCCCCTGGTCTTTCCCTGGGTCACTCATGAGGCAACTGTGAATTTTAAGACTTGCCAGCAAACCTGTGGCCCAACTCTAGAATCACGTCTTACCTGTCTCGGTTTTAGATCCCGTCATCAGTGGGAAGTGACGAAGCCGCTGTCAGAAATGGGCACCTGGGCAGGTCAGCCTTTCTGGGGGACATGCCTTCGGTGCTGAGAAGTGGCTGCCTTAGAAATTCCTGCGTTAGGGTGATTTTCACTTTGCGAGAGCACTGAAGTCGGGCGGATATGCCTGAGCGGCCAAAATGAACTTTACAAAATTGGTATCTGCGCTGAGAGTCAGTTTAGGATGATAAGGGCAGACTTTGTACATGTGCTAAGTAAAAGGTCACCTCTTTCTAACTAAGAAAGTCAACCGACACCTTTGATCTAAAAGAGAAAGTGTATCTTAGTCTATGGAAATCATCTTTCTGATCAATTTTTAATTTTCTGATCAAAGTCATCTTTTGGATGGTCTAGGATGACTTCCTTTGGAATGAAAACATACTGTGGGGCTGTTATCCTCGCAAATAAAATGTGCTAGGTTTCCAGCGCCACTCTAAAGTTCTAAAGTTTAACAATGTGCATTATGTTAAGAACAGGTTTTAATTACTCTTTCTCTTAAATAACAAATTGCTCTCTGTGTTGGTGGGCCAACGGCCTGTGATTTCATCTCAGTGAGGAAGTCAAGAATACTTTAATGACGCATCCTGCATTTGTAGATGGGTCCAGCCCCTGTGGAAAACAGTATGGGGGTTTCTCGAAATATTAAAAATGGGCCTAACCAGAGACCCAGCAATTCCACTCCTAGGTATCTGCCCAAAGAATGCAATTTGAAGGGAGACCTGCATGCTTGTGCTCATTGCAACACTATTTACAGTAGCTAAGATGCCTAAGCACCCAAGGACAGAAGATTGAGTCAAGGAGATGTCGTGTATATGCTGAGTGGAATACTACACAGCTATGAAAAAGGGTAACTCTCCATTCACAACAATGTGATGGAACTAGAGGGGGTGATGTTATGCAAAATAAGTCAGAAGACAAATAAATACCAGATGGTGTCACTTATATGTGGAATATAGAGAAATCACACATAGGGTCGGACAAAGCCCCACCAGTAAGAAATGCTAGAAATCTGGCTGAGGCCACCAGAGAGAGGAAGGGAGGGGAGAGGAAAATGTGGAGGGAGCAGAGCTGATTGGCAGAGGACCATGGGTGGCTTGGTGCTCGTGGGTTTTGATGTGGTGGCAGCATCTAAAGGCAGTGACCCCAGACCTCTGAATCATACACAGTGTTGTAAGCCAATGTCGCTTCAATAAAACAAAAACATCGTAAAAGGATAAAACAAAGATCCTTTTTTAGTGACTTCATCTTCAGTGTGACTTTCATTAAACCCGTGTCAAAGGCCAGCGAACAGATAGGTTCATCTTTGCGGCCCTGTAAAGTCTCTGCCGTGACTACTCAGTGACGTGTCCTCTGTCCCAGACCTTGATGATTCAGTGACACAGAAGCAAACCTGGGTCTTTGCTCCGACTCTGTGGTTTGCTGAGCAAAACTGCCCTTGTGCGGAGCCGGCTACAGACCGTTGCAAACCAAGCACTTTTCCCGTGTTACAGTAAAACTCCACCACGCACCCACATTTGAATTTCCTGTACCTGTCACTTGTCGCGAATTTTCTCCTCATCTGTTTATTTGTTTATGTTCATTCCCAACTATTGAAACACCACAGAAAACCACTCTTAGCTCTGAGCACAGACAGATCCCAGGCTGGATTCAACCACTCGTCGAGCTTTGTGACCCTGATCTAGGCCTTTGCAAGCAAAGCAGGGCCGTGAAGCTGCATTCTTCTCCACACAAAGACCTGTCGCATCCGTGGCCGCCTGGCGAGCGTTTGTCCAGGAAGCGCTGGGGAGGGCTCCGTGGGGATCTCCAGTCGATCACAGCGAATTTTCCAAAAATTCCGACGGAAAATGCCATCATCAGAGGCAGTGGAACTGCGAGAGGCTTCAAGATGGGCAGCACAGAAGCGACTGGGTGCCCTGTCTTTGCCCTCCAGCGGCCTCCGTTGTTGGGGTCTTGAGTTATTTCCCTGGTCTGCAAAGGAGAGACGCCGGTGACAAAGCAGGCGCTGCTTCTCCATGCAAATGCAAAGGAGCCGTGGCCAGTGGCTGGGCGGCTGGAGCCGTGAATAGCCCACAGGCTGGTGCTGGGGACTCCACCCCAGTGTCAGGCTGGGGGGTGAACCCTCTGCCAGGTCTGGGGTTTCTGTTTTGAACCAGCCGTACCACGTAGGTGGCTCATGCAGCATTTCATGAGCCCCATCGTGTTTATTTTGCACGTTTACTTGACAGACTTAGCTTCAAGCTGTGTTCCTGCCCTCTTAGACCTTGAACCCCAGGCGACAACCCCCACCTGTGGGAGTGGGGTGCTCACTCTCCCTTTGGGCATCACCACTGACCCACTTGACCTGTGGGTCCCATTGGGTTTTGGGGACACGTGTGGAAAGCGGACGTTGGGGCCCCACTTGGGGCTTTGCGAGCTCTTTGATCTCCACGGGAGCGCTGTTCCCCGAAGGACTCCTCCCAACCCATCCTCAGATGTTTCCAAACCAAATGGAGTGGCGAGGGGGGTCGGACTCACTGGCAGGCACGTCTGAGGCCTCGCTTGACATGTGTGGGATGGGCTGGAGACGGGCAGTGCTCTTCAGCCCCGCCGAAGCTCTGCGAGTCGTGTCAGACGCTCTCTGCGATGTAAGGGGTGACGCTTTTGAAGCCCCGGGAAGCGTGTCTTAAGGAGGAAAAGGGAAACTCTCTACATAAAAATGACAGTGCCCGCCCAAGTACTCACAAGCTTCCGTGGGCCATCCTTGGCTTCTCGGCTGTCCCGCCAGCAGCAGGCACACTCCCAGATGCTTTATATCCCCCCGACTCGAGGACCAAGCTGGCGTGCATTAACCACCACCAGCTCCCCTGGATTTCTTTGGGGAGTTCACGTCTCTCTGACTCTCCTTTCCTGGTGGGTGATGCCAGGAGCTGAGCAAACTCCTTTCTCCCGAGCCTTGCGGCCTCCCGCAGGCCCGAGCCGTCGCTGTCCCGGGCTGAGCAAGCTGCCCAGGGCGCGCTGCGGGCATTGGAGCATGTCACCGCTGGCGTGAGGCCAGAAACGGACACCAATACAGACAAGGAGGGGAGAGCTGGGCTCTTCCCCTGGCCTGGACTGAGCCCCCCGGCCTCGCGGTCGGTGACCGCATAATGCCCGGCGAAGCAGAAGGGCAGGTTCTCGCCCACGGAGAACCTACCATGAAGCGGCGCTAGCCAGCAGGCTTCTTACTCGTCACGTCCGTTTTTATGGCCACGGACGACTCTTCCACCTGCTGTAAACTTCAAGGCCGAGTCGTGGGGGGGAGCAGGTTGTGACAGTCCAGGGTTTGTTCGTTTACTTGGTTTCTTTATATTCCACAAGTGAGTGGGGTCAGATGGTGTTTTTCTTTCTCCTTCCGACTTACTTCACTTTGTATCTTCCCTTCAGTTCCACTTGCTGTCACGAGTGGCAAGGCTTCGCCTTTTTCAGGGCCAAGTAGTATTCCATTCTGTATATGCCCTGTGTTCTTTATCACCCATCCTCTGCCAGGCTCTTGGGTGGTTTCCCTGTCTGGGCTTTGTGAATAGCCGTGCTGCGG